TTTCTTTTGATGAACTACAGTAGTCCATCCAGAGCAATCTTGGAAAGTGCTGCATTACGCTGGATCTTATGGAAAGGTTGGGTACCTGAAGTCCCGTGGCAAAGAGCTGATTGACAGCTAAAGCTCCAACAGCCATGAATTGCCTCTGGGGGCTTGCAAAATGGTCCAAAGCATGTGCTAGGACTCCATACCAGTTCCCCATCCTTCTGTCTACAGTACTGAATGTCCAAGAAACAGCTTCCCTGCCCCCAGTCAAAGTGTTCAGATGTTATGTACACTCTGCAACTCTGCTCCATGCCCATCTGTAGCTCCCAACTAGTTTGGGCTTCGTTCGAATACAGTTGCTTACCTGCTGTCTTTCAGCATGTTTAAAATATCATCTCTAAAGGTGTCTCTGTTTTTCTCCAGAAAGCCCCTCACATCATAGAGGACCTGCAGGTGACAGGTTGCAACACAAGCATTAAAATGTGCCATCATGATAATGCACAACACAGATGCATTGAACAAGGAGGAAAAACTCTTGAACTCACACACCCAAAGCTGCCAAATACCTTATGCATCTCTCAAGCCCTTTATTGATTAAGAGCAGGGGGAACTAGCCCAGAGGCGATATGTAGAGGCCTGTTCTGCTATGTTACAGGAACAATGTACTGTAGTAGCCACCAGAGTCTTGGACAACATCTAGGAAGACAAGTCCAAACATCCCCTCTCGGCCATTAATCTCACCAGGTGATCTTGGACCAATCAATACCTTTCAGCCTAGACTACCTCAAAGGGTTGTTATGATAATGCAATGCAAGTGGGGTCAGACATGCCACCATGAGCTCCTTGGAAGAAGGGTAGATAAAAGTGTCAAAGATAAATAAATTCTGCAGCCCACTGCCTCTCAACAAGAGAGTTTAATTCAACCTCCCTTCAACAGCAACCCAGTAGCCACAGCAGGGATTAAATCCTGCTGCCTTGGCTGCGCCATCCTGTTCCCTCCTGGAAACAGGGCATGCAATTAATGCAGGATTAAACCCTGCCCTCCTGCCCATCAGCTGGTTTCAGCAGTGTTATCATCTGATGGGGGGGGGGCGTGATTTGAGGGGAAATGGCCTCGCAGACCAGATTTGAAACTCTGGTGGGCCAAGACTGATAGGCTGTTCTAAACCACAGCAACTGTAATGTGTGTTCTGGTCCCAAACAAGGCTATCATCTGTGGGGGTTCAACAAAATAATATTAGATAGGCCTAAACCTCAAATTGGCAGCTTAAAAGAGTTTTAAAACTTGGTAGAGGCTGTTGCTCAATCCCATGCCCATTCCAGAAATAAAATTCTGCACTTTAGACCTTTTTCGTCAGCCTCCAGCTGTGGCCTAACTGGCTCACTGGCTTGTAGGCCCCAAACTCAGCCAGCTGCTCAGCTATCAGGCTAAAATGCACTTACCTCTCCGGCATAGTGCTGGATTCCAAACTGAAAATCTGTTACTCGAGGCTTCATATAGTACTGGTTGTTCTGAAACAAAAGTGAGTGAAACACTGTTTATACTACACTAGCACCTGAAGCAACACATCAGCAGCTGTTTTTAAATATCATAAGTGGTAGTAATTTTTTGCACATAACCAAGCCAAACAGTGAGGGCCAGGACCGCATTATGGTGCAGTACTATTGTACTTCATAAAGTGTCGGTCCCAAAATGGCCACACAGTAACCACAACAGTCAGTTAAGAGTATTTTGGTGGAGCCAAAAACAGGGAACTATCCTGGCAAACATCTCTGTCAGTGCTACAACTCAGACATTATGATGAGCCAGAAATTATACTTCTGGAAGATTCCCTGCCTCAGACTGAAGCATCCCAGCTATGTCACAAGCCACTAGGATCAGTCTGCCTACTGGAATTCCCAGAACTGCTAAAATACAATGTTCTTCACAGAGTACTGATTGTGTCTGTTAGCTTTTAGCCATTATCCAGTAAACTGAACAAGGAAAGCTATTCTACCCTGAATTGTTAACCTAATTTTAAACCTCCACCCGCTGAATCTTAGCAGCTATTCATTTGGTAAGAGACTTAGGGTCATCTGCTTAAGAGACACATTATGCAATTCTGTTTGCTTTGCTTTGAAGAGGGTTAATTTGGCCTCACAGTTTGATTGCCTTTTCTATCAGAAGACACCAAGGGAGCCTTTCCAAGGCTGAAGCAGAGGCTCAGCCAAAGAGGTTCCAACAGATGAAGTGTTGATAACTGGTTCTTTGTGGACTGCGTTCCTCTTCCTCACTTTGTGGCCTTCTTTTAAAAATCCACAGTGGAAGTAGTTCCCATTTCATACAACAAACAGAGCACCACCTACTTTGTTCATAGATGAGAGGAAATTTAAAATATCAAGATTATGTAAAGTGTAGTTTGTGGGAACACATCCTGTGTGTCAATGTGGGGTGGTGGGGCAGGGAGAAAAGAGCATGGAACAATTCCCCGAGGTTGCATCAAACTACAGTTCCATACAGGTTTCTTTTCTCTTTAATCTATACCTTGCTCCTCCTATCCCTTTGGTGTGTCAGATATATGAATCAAAACTATATACCACCTACTGCAATATACACATTCTACACAGGGCTGCCCCTCAATACCATCTGGAAGCTGCAGTTGGTCCAGAATGCAGAAGGTAGGCTGCCAACTAGTGCCAACCAAGCAGATCAAATACCACTGCAATTATTTAGAATAGATGCTAATTCATTTGTTTCCAGGTCCAGTTCAAAGACCTGAAGACTTTTAAATCCTTAAGTGGTCTGTGTTTCAGGTCCTTGAAGGAATGTCTCCTCCCTAAATGTTCCCTTTTTCTGCTTCATGGTCATCAGGTAAGGTTCCGTTTTGTTCCCACTCCCTACCCCCTTGTTGGGAGCTATGAGATTTGGGACTGTCTCTGCAATGATATCTTATCTTTCAAACTCCTTGTCTAAGAAGGTCTGCCTACTCACTCCTGATTCTTAGAAGGATGCTTAAAAATCATTTTATCCACAAAGGTGTTTTGGTTGCTGGGAGGCAACTGATCTTGGCTTTATTTAGTTTGCCTTCCAATTTCTGGTTTGTTAATACAGCAATCCTGCAATTTATGTAGGGGTTACTTTCTGGAGATTGCACATAGTCAAAACAGATTGGGTTCAGTGGTGGGAAGGATTGCCAAGTCTTTTTTCCCAGGTGCCTGCCTGCTTTTGGCCCCGTTGTTGTTGTTGTTGTTATAAAGCTGAATACACACAAGTTAAAAGCAGACTTACTGTATTGGGATTGTAATGTTTTACATTGGCTTCTATATTATTATTATTAGCCTATAATATACATTTTAGAAATGCATGCAAGTGTTGTGTATATATGCATCTTCACTTACCCCATGCTGGTTGTGCAGCTTTTCCAAAAGGGTACTGTCTGTGCCTTTGGGGAATCTACTCTCTTCATTAACCAAGGCCAGCAAACCAAGTTTCTGTAGCCAAAGAAGAAAAAGACTTGCAGTGATCATTTAATGTAATGTTATCTTGCTCAGCCTAAAGTAAGGTTGGAGGGGGTGTAAAAATTGTATGTATGTAAGGACAGCAAACACACACACACACACACACCTTGAGATAGCCATGATTTCCACTCATACCTCCCCCCCTTCTTTTTCCTTACACTCTTCTTCTTTTTCTTCACAATGAACTCTGCTAACTTCTGAATGAAGCCTGTCTATTTCCATAAAAGTAACAGAAGCCAAGGTGGAGAGAGGCAAAATAACAGCTATAAACTAAGGCACAGAAACAAGCCTTGCTATTTGGGACCAAGGTCAGAGAGAAAAGCCCAGTCTACAGAGGAAGCATACTCTTGACTGCATGCTAACCCATCACACAGGAGAGAGGCCTACCTTCTCAATAAGATCCAGGCATTCTGCATTGTCCATCCAATCAATGGCTTCCCAGCTTATCCCCTCTCTGCCAAAAAGAGAGGGGAAACACAAGTCAGGCACTCATATTTCCAGAGAGCAGGGGTTAAGAAACAGCAAGACGCTTTGGACAGGACAGAAGTACAAGAAAAGGAGAATAATATCCCTGGGAGGTGAAAAGCAGAGAGGAAGGTAAAACTGCTCCCAGGCAGCAAAGTAGTGGGCGACTCTTGCTTTTATCAAGCTTTCCAAGAATTTCCTTGACCCCCACATGGATTGTCAGTGATGAAATCCAAAGCGGCTTTTCTGCTAGCAGTTTTTCCTCCTCCACCTGAGAGCAGTGGGCTCTCTTGGTTGCCAGAGGCCACTACCAATAAGCAATAGCCACTGCCTCCTGAAAAGGCCACTTTTAACTACCTGTTGTACTCAAGCTGCTCCAGGGAGAATATGTGCTTGTTGAAGTACTCCTGGAGCTTCTCATTTGCATAGTTAATGTTAAACTGCTCAAAACGATTCACCTGTGCGTGTGACAAGAGAAACCAATATTAGCACCCATGTTCTTGGTCTGGGGGGAAAATCTTTTTTCCCTTGAGGGCTGCAAGGAAGAGGAAGTGCATGCGGGAGGCAGGGGAGGGTCAGCGGAAGTCCCGAGGGTCAGCTTGTTATTGCCTCTCCTGCCAGCTGCTGACAGTCTGGGCATGCAGTGGCACAGAAACCACAGAGACTGCAAATGACAAGACTGCTCATTCAAGGGGAAAACAGGGCACATTAAGAAAAGGATCAGTGAATGAAGCTCACTGGGTGACCTTGGGTCAGTCGCAGTCTCTCAACCTAATCTACCTCACAGGGTTGTGGCATGGATAAGTTGTGCGTGGTTGAGACCCATCAGGGAAGGAAGCCGGGAATAATAATAATAATAATAATAATAATAATAATAATAATAATAATATGCAGTGCCACCTTAAGCTCTTTGGAGAAAAGGTGGGATATAAATGTAATAATGAAAGAGGGGGAAACACAAGGGAGTGCATGCCCATGTAACATACGTGCCAAGAGAGTTTGACTAAATGCCTTACCAAAGTAATTTTCACAGGACATTGTCAGAGTTTGGGGAAGGGCTGTAGCTCAGTGGTAGAGCATATGCTTTGCATGCAGAAGGTCCCAGGTTCAATCCCTGGGTTCTCCAGGTATGACTGGGAATGCCCTCTGTCTGGAGCCCTGGAAAGCCGCTGCCAGTCTGTGTAGACAATACTGAAGTAGATGCCTGACTTGGTGTATTTCAACAAACAATATACAGGGTGTAGTGATATACAAGCAATTTTTGTGTGTGACTTTGACTTGGTGTACGGCAGCTGCCTTTGTTTCCAATTTCAAGAATGAGGTTCAAGGGGCAATGACCATACCATCCCCTGCCCAACTGGCTTGGTATCAAGCAATATATGTTCCAATGTACTGAAATTACCTTGGAAGGCCTCTGCCTTGCCTCCAGGTAATCAGCTCAGCTTGTTTTCTGCATGCACTGAAACTTCCTTTGGTCCATGCAACAATCCCCAACAGTTTAATTTCTAACCTGGAAATTCTCAAACCCGAAGATATCCAGGATTCCAACAGACTTAAAGTTTTCCTTCCCTTTTATCTTTGAGTTAATCTTGCCAATGATCCATGAGAAGCACTGTGAATAAAGGGCCATGGCGAGGGAGTCTCTAGAGTCAGCAGCCTAGGGGCAAACAAGGAGGAAGACAATGCTTGTCAGTAAGCAATGAAATGGGGGAGGGGGGGGGAGACACCAAACATCACTCTATATGCTGGAGAGCAACACAGCAAACTATGGGGAGATCGAGGCAGCAAAGGCCTGGCAAATGAACAGTATCCCTGGGAAACTAATTTTAAGTATAGAACAGCAGAGAAACTGAAACTCAGGTGCCTGAATTGCCAAGGATGAGATGACTGCTATCAAGCATGCCTCCCAACTCCATCTGTGCCAAACTAGGCCTTGTTCTCACCATGAGAAAATGAGGTATAAACCTGGGTCTGGACTGCAAGTGAGGGACTTACATCCTATATACATAGGCATGTTTTGAAGAAAAGGGTCTAGCCTAGTCTTTTACACGGCATGCGAGCCTTCCATGAAGAGGAATCTGAAAAGGTCCAGTGGAGACATGTAGTTTCATTGCCTTGGTTACTGTTTGTGAGAATTAGGCCCTTGTCAGTCCAAGCTTCCTCCTCTAGGAGGGGGCCTAAAGAAGCCCCTTTGCTTTCCTCCATCAGCTGCCTCACACTACCAAGTCTCTTCACTTTTCAGAGGCAGGGCCATCTTTACCAAGAGATGCAAGGGGTGTGGGGCACCTGGGGGCTGAATTTGGGGGGGTGTGCCCAGCACCCACCGCTGAAGCTCTTAACTATCTACCTGTTATGAAATAATAAAGAATTCTGATCAAGCTAGAAAAACAAAATACATATATACCTAGGTATTACCGAAATGTATACCTACTGTTTCACTAAAGAACTTTCGACTTTGTGCACTCATTTACCAAAGACGCGCTGCACCAGCGGCACTTGTCAGACTCAATGACAGCGCTTGTAATTCACAACGGTGCCGTGCACGCGAAATTAACTCTTACATCAAAATATTATGTTATGTATTGTATTGAGCTACTATGCAGCAGCGGGGTCAGCGGCACCTTTGACACAACTGATGTTTCTCCTAAGTAGGTGCCTAAACAATACTTATAAGTTTAAGTGTGGTGGTGTTATATACTTAAGTATAAGTATACAGTATTGTAAATAAATGAGCAAATAAAGAAGTTTGTTTCTTTTTCCTCCCTTCTTTCGTGAACAAGAGATAAGGCATAAGCGTGGTGTCTGACATAAGCATAATAAAAGTTAATTTGGGGGCTAAACTAAATTTGGGGGCGCTGGGTGGATCTTTGCACCCCGGCGGCACATATGCTAAGACAGCGCTGCTCACAGGAAACCATAGATCAGGAGGCAGGAGAGCCATAAGGCCTCTCCTTTGGCTCAGTGACCACCACTGTCCTTTAGAAAGCCTGAGGCCTAAACCACATGTTACAAGGAATACTTGGTGGCTGCCTCCTTGCATCTCCTCAGTAATATTTAGTCAAGGAAGATGCATGATGCCAGCACATTGAGACTTTCCCTGCCCCTGCTCTGCATCACTGGCTGCTGCTTGCAGGGGGAAAGGAAACTCTGGGCACAATGATGCCCTCTCAAATGGTCTTTAACTAAACAGAGCCGAAAAGACATGGTGGAAAGATGCAGGTGGGCAACAGCTACACATTCCCTGCATTGTATAGTTTGGGCTGGAGCCAACTGCGCTTAGCAAAGCACAGACAGGGAGGAGCAGAACTCAAGTGGCCAGACTGCCTGGTAATTCAACATCTCTGCAACATCTTCCAGGAACGGGCACTTGACTCAACGCACCCGGGACTAGGACAAAAGCAGGGGTGGGCGGCACACAGACACGTGCGTTCTGTCAAAGGCCCCATTGACTGGCCTCAGCTCCTTCTGTCTAACACACTGGAAAATGCCAGTGCTTGGCATTATAATTAGCTCTGCGTACACTGCAAACTGACTGGCATCACATTCTCTCATGCATCTGGCAATAGTTGGCTGGCATTCCTGGAAGGCTGGGACAGGGAAAGTGGGCATTTGGCAGCAGGAAGTCTAACTAGTGAGGAAGGGCTATTGAGGAGTGTGCCACAGTGCCCTCATGTTCTGCTTGCGGGTTTCCAATAGGCGTCTGATTTGCCACTGTGGGAAGAGAGTGCTGGACTGAGTGGGCCTTTGGCCTGATGCAACAGGGCTGTATCCTCTGCAGAGTGCTTGCTGCACTTATCTACAGGAGAATCCATTTAATTTCTTGTTGCTCCTCCAGAGACACCCAGCTCACATTATGCAGCATCTGCAGCAGAGATATCGGGGGGGGGGGGGGAGAGACTCAGGCCTGGGGGCCAAATCCAGCCCTCTAAGCCACTCTACCTGACCCACAGGTTTCTACTTAGACCACACACCTTACTGGCCCCTGGTCTGCACCCTCCTTGAGAGTTTTGCCTGGCTGGAATATGTCCCTGAACTCTGCGAATGCCTCTTGCTCATCTGGGTGGAAGATACAGAGAAGTTTGAGGCTCCATGCAGAAGCTATCCTACTGTACAAGAGTCACATTCATCGCTCTGTCCCCATTTACTTTTGGTCCCACTTGGCGCCAGCGCGTGGCCCTCAGAAGGCAGCTGAAAAAGATTCCCCAACCCAGCTCTACAGCGGTAAAGTTGTTAACAAGGCTGATTCACCCTCTCTTCCTGCCTTGCAAATGGCTTCCCTACATCCCAGCTTACTCAAATTCCTGAGCCACAGTGCACATTCTGGGAAGCCCTCCTCAAGGGTTGGGGGGTGGGGGGAGTATGTCATGTTCAAATCCGAGGCATCCCTCAAGCACCATTTCCCCTTGACAACTATGTGAGTGCTGCCACCTAGAGGCAAGTGCCCTTCATAGCCATGCTTAGTGCAAAGCCCGTTGGCTACTCACTCACCTGCTCCACAGTGAGGGGAGAGCTGATCTCCTCTCCCCGTAGGAACATGGATCTCTGGGTGAGCACCTCCGACAACTGGAAGGCATCCAAGCCAAGCAGCTCGCTGACATTATTCAGCACTAGGAGAGAGGATGATAAAAGAGAGATGGCAGTAATGCTTGCAATAATGTGTTCTTATTATGTGGAAGTGATTGATGAGGGAGGGGGCCTCTCCTCAAAAAGGGACAGGAAGCCAATACAATCAAGAGGCGGGATAGACGTTTGGAGAGACCTTGCTGGCAACTCTTGATCCCCCAAGACTCCACTGATAGGCCCAGGGGGAAGGCGGGAAAATAACAGAAACACAGTAACCGTGACATTCCAAAACATGGCAAAGCTATCTCTGGCAAGCCAGCATGACAACTAGGGTAGAGGATTTGTAAGCCATAGTTTCACAACATGGTGAAGTTCGAGCCCATTCGCACACTCAAAACCTAATTTGAATTGGGGGGTTAAAAATTTACTGTGAATTTAACAGTGTCTCATATTGGGAAGAACTAGACTTGGAATTGTCCCCCAACTCCTATAGTTCCTGGGCGTCCATTTTGTCCTGTGAACAGTAACAGAAAGGCAGTAAAGCCTGACCAGCGGATCAGCATGGTCACCAAAATGATGAGGGAGGAGAAGCAGATTCCAGGTGGGGACGCCCTTCACAGAAGGGTGCCGCTTACCAGTTTTTGTTGTAATCTGAGCTCCTCCGGCCGTCATAAATTCAATGTTTCCAAGTTGCAGGATGCCAGACAGGAGTTTGAAAATGTCTCTGATCTCTTCAGAACCGAATCCCATCACTTCGAGGGCAGTCTGCTCAAAACACATTGGAGTTAGGTTAACTCCACTGTCACCCACCACCATCGGGCCAATCATAGACTTGCTATAAAGCAATCCTTACACATCAGCGCACACAAACCAGTTAACACATCCCTCTGTGAGATTTTGCTTTCTAAGGCTGGCACCCTGAACACACTATGAAGCAGCTGTACTGAGGTCCATAGAACTTACTTCTGAATATGTGATTGTCCTATTTCAGTCCTTTGGAGAGAGTATTCCATAGACTCACCTGTTTCCTTGATTCCATATTGCAGCTGTGATTTTTGCCACTATGAACACAGAGCCAAGAATGCTCTGGGTAATGTTGAGCCTGGTTTCAGTTAGCCTTGCACCTTATATCCTGGTGGCAGTCAGACCCAATATGCAAGAGGATCCACAACAGGGGCAGAGATCCTGTGACCTTCCAGCTGTTACTGGACTACAGCTCCCATGATCCCTCAGCAGTATCCACATTGGCTGACACTGTCCAGAAAAATCTGGAGGACCACAGGATCTCTATCCCTGAGCTACAAGAAGACCCTCTTGTACTTCCAGGCTTTTCCTTAAGCGAATCCTCTTCTGCTCTCTTCCTAGCATGTCCTTTCCTTGCCCTTATTCTACAGTCTACCTTTCAATTTTATCTCCTATGCAGCACTCTGCTTCAAAAGTGCTTTATAAATAATAAATATGATTCCTATAGCACCCTCACATCTTTTCCCTCCTTCTACATTACAAATCAGTGCCCATATTTTTGCAGGCTAAATCCTTCCCCCAGCTCCTTTTTTTTTTAGT